GGCGCCGGCGACGGGGCGGGGCGGGGAGAGAGGGTGAAGCGTTGGGAGCGGAGGGACTGCTAGTGTCCCCGACAGGCGGGCCACGGGGGGACAAGGGCGTGCGTCGAGGCCGTTCGCGCGCGTCTGTTTCACCCCAAACCGAGCACAAGTTCGGACCGGGGATGGGTCGAAAGCGGACAGAATCCGAACATTTGTCCGTTTGCGCCCGCGCGCTGGTCCGTCTCATTTGTTCATTTACCCCAAACGGACGGGGACGGATAGAATAGGGTCGCGCGGTGGAGTTGGCGTCATATCCGCCCGCTGCGGCTCCGACTCCGACTCCCGTCGTTGGCCGGCTGGCTGGCTCACATGGCCTGGCTGTACGCCTGGTCCACGGTGTGTCGCTCCTGTGTGTTGATGTTACCGGTACCTACCTACCGGAAGAAGGAATCTCATCCGTGATCCTAGCCGGGATAGCCATAGGGAGGTGAGTGAGGTGAGGTGGGAGTGGCAGCAGAATCATTGCTTGCGTTACGCTGCACCCTTGGGAAGAAAGGTGGCCGAGATGGGCGTGCAATAATTTCATTCATGAAAATGTCCATGCGACGTCATAATTCTGTTCTACGTAAGTTACTCGTAAAACATATTGTTAACAATAAATATTTATAATTTCATCGGGACTTGTTTGTGACCCTTGATTGATAGAGTGAGAGGCGGGATATTAAAGTGTAAGCATTTGGTGATAATGACAACTGCTATACTTCGATTGTAAGGCTGGAAACCCCAATGATATGCCCGACCCCAACTAAAACCCTAATGATTCATTCATCCACCCTCCCACAACCGCAAAGCCAGCGCCATCTTCTCATGTCATCTCATCTCATGTCCCTGACCAAAGCATATTCTCGAACACTTAATTTGTGTTGCAATCACTAAGTCAGTTCGCAATAAAACTAGCTTATCCGTGACTCCCATTATCCATCCATCTACTCATTGTATAGTGGACAAGTTAAGCAACAGAAACGGGACAGCTCGAACCGGAAGCAAGCACGGCTGTCTCCACACCGATGCACAACAACCAGCACCACATTACATTTTTCTTGCACTTTTATTACAGTGGCCTTTTGCCATTGAAGACAGCGCCGCACCGCAGCTCGCTCAATAAAACCGGCCCTGTCCTGTCCTGTCATCACACTCCACCACCCCCATCCATCCATCCATCCATCAGAGAAGAGAGAGAGAGAGGAGAGCGTCCGCACTCCGCAGCAGCCATGGCCAAGGAGGTGAGCGAGGAGCCGGAGCACGCCGCGCCGGCGCACAAGGACTACTCCGACCCGCCGCCGGCGCCGCTCTTCGACATGGGGGAGCTCCGGATGTGGTCCTTCTACCGGGCGCTCATCGCCGAGTTCGTCGCCACGCTGCTCTTCCTCTACATCACCGTCGCCACCGTCATCGGCTACAAGGTGCAGTCCGCGGCCGACCCGTGCGGCGGCGTCGGCGTGCTCGGCATCGCCTGGGCCTTCGGCGGCATGATCTTCGTCCTCGTCTACTGCACCGCCGGCATCTCGGGGGGCCACATCAACCCCGCGGTGACGTTCGGGCTGCTGCTGGCGCGCAAGGTGTCGCTGCTGCGCGCCGTGATGTACATCGTGGCGCAGTGCGCGGGCGGCATCGTGGGCGCCGGCATCGTCAAGGGCATCATGAGGGACGCGTACCAGGCCAACGGCGGCGGCGCCAACATGGTCGCCTCAGGGTTCTCCCGCGGCACGGCCCTCGGGGCGGAGATCGTCGGCACCTTCGTGCTCGTCTACACCGTCTTCTCCGCCACCGACCCCAAGCGCAGCGCCCGCGACTCCCACGTCCCTGTGCTCGCCCCGCTCCCCATCGGCTTCGCCGTCTTCATGGTGCACCTCGCCACCATCCCCATCACCGGCACCGGCATCAACCCCGCCAGGAGCCTCGGCGCCGCCGTCATCTACAACAAGAAGGCCGCATGGGACAACCACGTAATTAAGCTTCTTCCTCTCTCTCTCTCTCTCTCTCTCTCTCTCTCTCTCTTCCGTCTCCATCTGTTTTCTTCTTCTACCTCTTCCTCTTGCAAGCAAGAAGCTAACCTCGTATATGCATGACATGACATGCAGTGGATCTTCTGGGTCGGCCCGTTCGTGGGAGCGCTGGCGGCGGCGGCGTACCACCAGTACATCCTCCGGGCGGCGGCCATCAAGGCGCTCGGCTCCTTCCGGAGCAGCCGGAGCAACTGAGCCGCCCGCCCGGCCGGCCAATAATTTAATGCAACGGTCACCCACCGCGCTAGCTAGCGTGTTGGCAGTACTGCTCCTCGTGTCCATCCGGCCTTCTCGTTCCAGTGTCCTCTCTGTGCATGCATGTGAGTGAGAGAAAGACCACCATGTTTTCACTCTTCAATTATTACTCCTTGTCACTGTTACTGTTGTCGAATTACATTAGTTACTACTGTTATTAGTGTTGGTGTTGGATGGATGATGAACCTGTAATGTAAAACCGCTGTGAGTGAGAATTGCTGCAATTTGGAACGTTAATTTATTTATTTATGGTGTGATGCATGCGTGTTTGCTGGAGTGCTGCTAGCTTATCCTGCTGGCTATCCTTGTCAGTGTATATTATGGCCTGTCTATATTTGTCAGTGGTATATGGCTTGCCTTTGTCTGTCATGCAATCATGTTTATCTATCCTGCGTCTGCGTGCGCGACGTCTTTAATCATGCGCGCCTTCTGGTGGCTTGGAGTGGAGTGTGTGCTAATGATTGCTTCTGGGATTGATTAAGAGACGTGGCCTGTTAATGATGCCCTAATCAACAGAAGAAAATGAAATGATGTCCTAATCAACAAACACATGCTACAGTGCGTGCATGCCTGCTCTGATGAAGGTGGTTGATGTGTCCAGAGAGTTCCACCAGGCTTTGTCTCCACCCACCGGCGCACGCTTATCCACACACAGCCTGAATGTTAAGGCCAACTCCACGGCGCCATCTTAAATGGACGTTGTTTTGTCCGGATTTTGTCTGTTTGGATAAAGATTTGAGCCGTGTTCTGTCCCAGCGCGTAGACGCATCCTGACTGTATCTTGTCCGCGTATTTTTCTTTGCAAGTCCTTCAGTTTTTTTTATCATTCATTTTTGATACATGATAATACATCATCATATTTTGACTAGTAAAGTAAGGCCAAAGAAAATAAGAACAACAAGAATATATTTTAGAAGATAGCCAACTTCCATAACTGCTTCCTTGAGTTGGGTTAGGGCCTTTTCGATGCACTCATTGTTGATCTGTGGAGGAGGCTCGATCTGGCATCCTCCTTCCTTCTTCAAGCCAGATGTAGATGTTGCTTCCTCACACCTAGTCTCGTGTCTAGTCTTTAATCTAGCAACAAGTGCACTTGTCTCATTTACAGCCTCTATGCTAGCTAAAAGTGCACGAACATGTACTAAATTTTGCTCTATCAATATATCGATGTACTCTTATTCCCAATACCAAAACTTGCATCCATTCTACACAACAAAATTTGAAGTTAGCACAACTAATCAAATCTAGATGTCACACCCTAGCTAGTTCAAGCATTAGAGTGTGCATCATGTTTAATTTCCTTTTAAGTTTGAAATGGGGATGACAGAACCCCAACACCTCCCTGGAAACAACTAGGGTTTACTAAAATTATTTTCAATGAACCTGAAATGCCCTTCTAAAAAGTTCACTCTCTTTGTCTTGGGTTGGAACCTCTGGCAAAATTGGTGCACAATTTTCTAGGTCAACAGAAGGTCATTGAATTAAATCATAAGTATTTGATTTTGGGCATTTAAATGCTATAAAATAATTTAAATGCTCAAATAATTCTGGAAATAAATGTTTGCTGTTGGAAATATTCTAAACAGAGCCCACAATTATTTTCAGGATTTTTGAAAATGTTTTAGTATTTTTAATAAAGCCCAACAGTTGCAGAAAAAATAAAAAACAGAAACAAATAAGAAAAAGAGAGAGAGGGAAACCCACCTGGGCCTCACCTGTGCTGGCCCAGCCCACCTGGCTCGGCCCATCCGACTGGCCTTGCCAGTCGTCCTCCTCCTCCCGCCAGGAGGACGAGGAGCGCGTGGCCGGCGCCCGCGGCCACACGCCGGCCACCTCCTGCTTCTGCCGACGCCCTGGAGGCGTCTAGGGGTGCCACGCCGACCCCCACGTCCCCCTCTCTCCCTTCCTCACTCTCCCCCTCGTCTCCCTCACCCTCTCCCGCGATGGCCGAGCGCGATCCTCGCCGCCGTTCGCCGTAGTCGTCACCAGAGCCACCCCCTCGCCTCTCCGACAAGCCCATTAGCTCCGCGCTGCCGTCCTCGACCTCCTCGTCGACTCACGCGACGCTGGACGCCTCCAAGCACCTCCCCGACGCCTTCTTCTTCCTCGGTCCGCCGAGATCGTCGGCAACGCCCCGACGACGTCTGACCTCCCCCGAGCTCGCTAAGGCGCGTTCTGCAACCGCTGTGAGCCCATCTTTCTTCCGCCCCTCTCCCCGCGCTTGTCCGCGTCCTCCAACCCCCTCTGCCATCGAGGCCGAGAGCTCGGCTCCGCCGGCCATGTCGCCGCCGTGGCCACATGCGCGTAAGCTCGAATCCAAGCACGCCTTCGTCTTCCACGCGCTCCCAGGAGCCCGTAGCACCATTCCACGCGCCTCGCCGTGCCCCGCAGCCTTGGTTTCGGCCTCGCCCGAACTCCGGCGGCCGCCAAGGTCGTCGTCGGCGATGTTTCCGGCCACCCTAGCTCCACCCACTGCCACCACTCGATGCGGTTTGCTCCCAGCTATGCGTAGATGCTCTCCGCCGTCGTTTTGGTTGCCGAAGCACGAAACCCGCAGCCCCCCGCCACGTCTGGCCTCGCCGGCGGCTAAACGCCGGCGAGTTTGACTCAGTTTGACCCCTGTGTGGGCCCAGGTAGACCCCCCTGAGTCTATGACAGGTGGGGCCGGTCTGCTAATTAGTTTAGGATTAGTTTTAACTAAGTTTAATTAGTTCAGTCACTGACATGTGGGCCTAGGCCCCACTGACAGCTAATTAGTGTTAATCTAATTCTGTTAACTAGTTGTGACACTGACAGAGAGGGCCCACCAGTCAGGTTTGACCTGGCCGACCCAGTTGACCCGCTGATGTCACATCTATGTCATGCTGACGCATTAATTCAATTACTGGATTTATTCTTTAATAGGAAATTCCAGAAAATAGTCAAAACTTCTAAAAATCATAGAAAATCAACCATAGCTCCAAATGCAAAGATTTATATATGAAAAATGATCAGAAAAATTCAATCTATCCATCTGTAATGGTTTCATGCATGACAAAACAAGTTAACCTTGCTGTTTAAGCAGAATAAGGAGATGCTCTAATAAGGCCATGTTTAATGAGCTAATATTTGAATCTTTGATTCAAATGAGTTCATCCCCTTCTGTTTTAGCTTGCATTAGGCCAAGACACTTTCATCTTGCCATGTCATAGCATGCATCTTATTGTTGCATATTGCCATGTGTTGATTATGCTTCGGTGTCTTCGTGGTAGGTTCTTGTAGGGTTTCGTAGTAATTTCAAAAAAATTCCTACGCACACGCAAGATCATGGTGATGTATAGCAACGAGAGGGGGAGTATGATCTACATACCTAGTAGATCGACAATGGAAGCGTTTGGTTGATGTAGTCGTACGTCTCCACGATCTGACCGATCAAGCACCGAAACTATGGCACCTCCGAGTTCTAGCACACGTTCAGCTCGATGACGATCCCCGGACTCCGATCCAGCAAAGTGTCGGGGAAGAGTTCCGTCAGCACGACGGCGTGGTGACGATCTTGATGTTCTACCGTCGCAGGGCTTCGCCTAAGCACCACTACAATATGTCCGAGGACTATGGTGGCTGGGGGCGCCGCACACGGCTAAGGAATAGATCACGTGGATCAACTTGTTGTGTTTGGGGTGCCCCGGCCTCCGTATATAAAGGACTAAAGGGGGGAAGGCTGGCCGGCCAAGGAGGGCGCGCCAGGAGAGTCGTACTCCCTCTGGGAGTAGGATTCCCCCCCCCCCAATCCTAGTTGGAATAGGATTCGCGGAGGGGGGAAAAGAGAGAGAGGGCCGGCCCCCTCTCCTTGTCCTATTCGGACCAAGGGAGGGGAGGGGCGCGCGGCCCATGAGGGGCTGCCTCTTCTCTTTTCCACTAAGGCCCATCATGGCCCATATAGCTCCCGGGGGGTTCCGGTAACCTCCCGGTACTCCGGTAAAATCCCAATTTCACATGGAACACTTTCGATATCCAAACATAGGCTTCCAATATATCAATCTTTATGTCTCGACCATTTCGAGACTCCTTGTCATGTCCGTGATCACATCCAGAACTCCGAACAACCTTCGGTACATCAAAATGCATAAACTCATAATATAACTGTCATCGTAACCTTAAGCGTGCGGACCCTACGGGTTCGAGAACAATGTAGACATGACCAAGACACGTCTCCGGTCAATAACCAATAGCGGGACCTGGATGCCCATATTGGCTCCTACATATTCTACGAAGATCTTTATCGGTCAGACCGCATAACAACATACGTCGTTCCCTTTGTCATCGGTATGTTACTTGCCCGAGATTCGATCGTCGGTATTCCAATACCTAGTTCAATCTCGTTGCCGGCAAGTCTCTTTACTCGTTCTGTAATACATCATCCTGCAACTAACTCATTAGTTGCAATGCTTGCAAGGCTTAAGTGATGTGCATTACCGAGAGGGCCCAGAGATACCTCTCCGACAATCGGAGTGACAAAACCTAATCTCGAAATACGCCAACCCAACATGTACCTTTGGAGACACCTGTAGTACTCCTTTATAATCACCCAGTTACGTTGTGACGTTTGGTAGCACCCAAAGTGTTCCTCCGGTAAACGGGAGTTGCATAATCTCATAGTTATAGGAACATGTATAAGTCATGAAGAAAGCAATAGCAACATACTAAACGATCGGGTGCTAAGCTAATGGAATGGGTCATGTCAATCAGATCATTCACTTAATGATGTGATCCCGTTAATCAAATAGCAACTCATTGTTCATGGTTAGGAAACATAATCATCTTTGATTAACGAGCTAGTCAAGTAGAGGCATACTAGTGACACTTTGTTTGTCTATGTATTCACACATGTATTATGTTTCCGGTTAATACAATTTTAGCATGAATAATAAACATTTATCATGATATAAGGAAATAAATAA